TAAATTTCTATCTTGTTCAAAGAGAAGATATAAAACAAAGTTCTGAGCTAATCGACCTTAGTGTTCTCCTTTTTAAAAAGAATCGATAAAGAATCAAATCGTTAAACAGAATCGAAACTGGAATCGGAATCGTGAAAATCTTATCAATACCCATCCCTAGGTATGTAAACAGGTAACGCCTGAAATAAATATAGAAATTTTGGTACAATATTCATCTTCACAGAATTGGCTCTCCCAATGAGAGATAAAGGTAAAATAGACCATCTTTTAACATCTTGTTTGTACTGTTCCAACAGAGGAGTGAGGTTACTTTTAAACAGACTGTAATAGGATTTGGTGACTTCTACACCCAGATATGTAAGGGACTCGGTAGACAACTTAAATGGCAGATTGGGGTTTTCTCCTGCATTATTACTAATGGGGAAGTATTCATTTTTAGCTAAATTTAGTTTGTATCCAGATATGCTTCCAAATTCCTGTAAGACTCTGAGGATTTCAGGGGTAGATGTGATCGGATTTGTTACATATAACAACAGATCGTCCGCATATACAGTGAGACAGTGTGAGTTATGCCACCATGTGAGATACCTTGTATACCATTATTGCGTCTAAGAGATATTGCAAGTGGCTCTATAGCTAAAACAAAAAGTAGTGGACTCACAGGATCCCCCTGCTTGGTCCCTCTGTGAAGAGGAAAAGGTTCTGATGAGATACTGTTGGTATAGACTGAAGCAGTCGGATTAGTGTAAATGAGCTCGATACAATGAATAAAGTTAGGACCCTGCTGTATCAGCTACAGCAGGGCAATATGGCCAAAAATATTTATCACGATATATATTTGAAAATCTGCGGTAACGATATAACTGACGATATAATTTCTGCAAGACAAAATACAACTCCACATCTTTACTAGCACAAAGGAAGCCCCCATCCATTTATTTTCACTTAAACAAGCAGCTGTTTTTATGTGCATTAAAGCTATATAAAAATGTAACAGTGCAAATGCAAATTTCTTGCTGAAAGTTTAACCAAAAGGCATCTCCAGTAGAAATGTGCTGACATATCCTGAGCATAACCATGTATAATATCCACTGAAGTTAAAAAGAGGTGCTTTGCAACATTAAACTGCAGTTTGCCAAATAAAAAAGTCAAATATGTAGTTTTCGGACCATAAGCTGCACGGGATTATAAGGCACATTAAGCGAAACAAAGCAGTCAGATAAATCAAACTTTATTCAACTCATTCTTCTTGCTTCCTCCACTTCTGTACCATTGATTCATTAATGCTGTATTCTATCACAGCTGCTCTGTTCCCATGTTGTTGCAGTATATTAATGACTAACCTCATATTGTGGAAGGATTATCGAAATCAAAGTGTGGATACAAACTGTTTTCAGCTGTAGCGGTAGAGGTACACTTCATGCACTTATCAACATACAGTTCAGAGGCTTGCATTAGAGTGCATTGTTCTTGGGCCTCTTTTATTCAGCACAGTTATACCATTGTGAATTTAGCTATATAAATATGCTCAAGAGTCTATCATATGTTTGACATCCAACTACAAATTCGAAAATATATATTTTTAAATCAGTAACTTTGCAAATTTAGAGGAAATGTTTTTGGACAACATGTCTCACATTTTAAACAGGGTTTGAATAATCAGCGCTGACATACAGACATTTATGTGCTGGGTATAACAGACATGCTTACCGTGGGAAAGGACCACGGATGTCTTGGAGCAGAGAAACACGCTGTGTTGTTGTTTTTCTCTATTGCATGAACGAATCCCGACTGTCAGAAATGCTCTGTGCGAGTAGCAGAGTTGGCTTCAACGCACCTGCAGGCATCCGTTTGAAAGAAAGGCGCCGCTGCAGCTAGGCTCTTGAAAAAGGTGCAGGCACATTACTACTACAGTGCGCTGAATCTTAGCATTGAATGTCCAGTTTATTCTAATCAGTACAATTTAAGCATTCACTGCACCTGCAGTACCTACACATGTGTGGTAAAGAAACAGATAATGAAATGTAATTATTAATAAAATATTTCTCGAGCTTCTCGTGTTCCTTCTTTCTGATGTTGTTGTTGTTCCTTGTCTTGATGTCAGGAGCTTGTAATTCCTCCTTTGGCCAGCTTATTACCCCAGCAGGGTACCTGATCACGGGCAGGACGTAGGCGTTGATAGCCCGGATCTTGTTCTTATCGTTCAGCTGACTCCTCAGTACTTGCCTGGCGCTCTGCAGGCACTTGGTGGTTGCAGCTTTTCTAGCGGTCTCTTCATGGTTTCCATTAGCCTGTGGGATCCCCAGGTACTTATAGCTGTCCTCTATGTCAGCAATGTTGCCTTCTTGTACCTCGATCCCCTCAGTTATGACTCCATGACTCCATGACACTTCTACATCCATGTGCATGGCTGACAACTGCTCCGTTCCGTAGTCGGTATCCGTAGCCAGTCTTGTCA